TGAAGGCGGATTTGGCGGATACGCCGAGAGTGGATGAGACGCAGAGAACACTCGCTCAGTTGCCAAACGGCAAATGTGCCGGAGGTGACGGGATCCCACCTGAAGTATTGAAACACGGTGGACCCGCGTTGTTGACTGCGCTGCGCCACTTGGTGCAACGCGTATGGATTGAGGAGGAGGAGGTGCCTCCTGAGCTGAAGGATGCCCTTGTGCTACCACTGTACAAGGGCAAAGGTAGCAAGCAATGTTGCACGAATTATCATGGAATCAACTTGCTGAGTTGTGTGGGCAAGGTGGTTGCCCGAATCCTGCTCAATCGCCTCGTGAGTCATGTTGTGGAACCAAACGTGGCGCAAGAGCAATGTGGATTCCGTTCGGGTCGCAGCACTATAGATTTGGTGTTTGCGGCTCGTCAGTTGCAAGAGACGTGCAGAGAACGACACCAGCCATTGTACTCACTTTTTGTTGATTTCACCAAGGCATTTGATACGGTGAACCGCGAGGCACTGTGGCTGGTGTTGGGTAAGTTTGGTTGCCCGCGTAAGTTTGTAAGTATAATTGAATGTCTGCACAGTGGTATGCGAGCGAGGGCGCAGCTGAGTGGAAAGACCTCGGATGACTTTGCAGTTGTCTCTGGTGTAAGGCAAGGGTGTGTCTTAGCTCCTGCCCTGTTTAATATATATCTTCATGCAATGTTGTCTTGTGCTTTTGATGCAGCTTGTGCTTACGGTGTTCGTGTGGAGCACCGTATTGATGGTGGGTTGCTGAACATCCGTCGTTTCGGTGCGAGAAATCTAGTCTGTGAGACAACTATCTATAGGTTGCTGTTTGCTGACGACTGTGCGTTGTTTTCACACAGCGCGGATGAGTTGCAGCACATGACTAGTGCTCTGGCCTCGACATCGGTCAAATTCGGGCTCACCATCAACGCAAGCAAAACTGTCTGTCTCTTTCAGCCTTCACCGGAGGTGCAATCTTCAATATTGCCGCGAATCAGCATTGGTGCTGAAGTATTGGAAACCACCCGTTTCTGCTACCTTGGGAGCGTGATGTCGACTGATCAGCAGCTACACGTTGAGTTGCGTAATCGCGTATCGAAGGCGGCAGTGGCATTCGGGAAGCTTGAGTACTGAGTGTGGAACAACCATCAGCTTAGCATTGGCACGAAGCAGATGGTGTACAAATCCATGGTACTGTCGGTTCTTCTATCCGGCAGTGAAACGTGGACGATGTACCGTCGGGATGTGCGATATCTCGAGCGGTTCCATCAGCAGTGTCTGCGACGAATTTTGCGTATCGGCTGGGGCGACAGAGTTGCAGACACGGAAGTGTTGCGCCGAAGTGGGATGTATGTAGTGGACGGCATACTTTTACTGCGACACCTGAGATGGCTCGATCATGTGAGCCGTATAGATTCGACGCGAATACCGAAAAAACATTTATACGGTCAGCTGAGTATAGGGAAGCGGCATGCTGGGAAACCAAAGTTCCGTTACCAGGACATGATTAAAGTGAGCCTCACCCGTTCTAATCTTGATTGCAGATCATGGGAATCGAAGGCGGTTGATCGGGGTGCATGGCGCGATCTAATCACGAAGGCAGTTGCTGAAGTGCGGGAGAAAGCCCTCATGCATGCAGAGAAGAAGCGGCAAGTGCGGAAGCGGCAAGCACCGATGAATTGTACTCCATCGACATCGAGCGCATGGTGCTGTAGAACATGCGGTCTCGGGTTCCTTAGTCAGGCAGGCCTAGTGAGTCATGAGAGAGGTCACTCGGGACCACTGCCGAAGCGCCGACGGGTCCTGCAGAGAACGTAGGCAGCACTGGCGTAGCGTTTGTAGGCACGCTGAATTCGATTTACTAACCGCGTGCTTGCATGCTAAGTCTCTTTATTTCAGGTGGTGGGTTTGCGATTCTCTCCTAATGCCTTTCTTTCTCATATAAATGTCTAGTGGGCCATGCGCGGTGCCATTTGGGGCCACTACAGAAGCGACGACAGGTCCTGCAGAGAATTACGGCGAGCCGGCGAGCTTTTGTAGGCACGCTGAATTCGATTTACTAACCGCATGCTTGCATGCTAAGTCTTTTATTTCAGGTGGTGGGTTTTTAATTTTGTCCCAATGCTCTTCTTTCTCATATAAATATCTCCCTGTACTCTATTCCATTAACTTGCACACCTCACTTAATCCAATTGTATTCGATTTCCGTAGCATATTTGTGTTCGTGTCATTTCGTGAACTATACCTCCTGACCTCGTTCACTTAGCTAGGAATTGTTTGTAAACAAATTACTACATGTGCTATTTAATTAAGGTTTATATCACCGTTTCCTTATGCATTAATCGAGTTTTTCTCTTTTTCAGTCTCTCTCTCTCTCTCAAGTGTTTGGCTGTTGTTTGATATCCCCGGTGTGGATGGGCTTGATGTGCATGTTGACAAGGTGCCTACCTGTCTATTACCCACTACCTCGTCCATACTGGCTCCAGGAGACAGTTGGTCGTTGATGGAGGGGACGGGGTGCACGGTCCTTGTGGCCGTGTTAGGCTCGAAGAGCGGTTCCATGCACTCAGTGTGGAACGGACTACGGTCCAGCCACCGCCTTGTGTGCGCTTGATTTCCCAAATACAGCGTGCTTGTGTTTGCCTGTGAAGGAGTGTGGGCCGGCTCCGTTGATGAAACGTGGTTCCCATCCACATACCTCCGGGTCTTATTCCTTCGGGTTTACACTGGATATGGGGTGTGTGGTTGGAGCTGTGGGTGGTGCAGCGCAATCCATCCATGGTCCCTCTGTAGGCGCAGGCGTCCTGTGGCTTGCCACAGTGACAGGCAAATCCGAAACCGGATGCCGCCAACCAATTGTGCGTGTGTATGTAGCTGTGTAGTTTGTGCTTGTAATTGTGCTGCTCCATTCTTGTATGTTTGATATCGTCAGCAATGTGCGAATGGAAGATTGGGGTCCGTGGGTTGGAAAGGACTATGCGGATATCCACGGGGCAGTGACTTTAATTCGTGACGAGTCATGACCGCCACGTCACCGCGTTGTTAAGCTGAGATTTGTGGCTTTTTATAGGGAGTGCACTTGACAGGCGAAAATCCACCCTGTCCTAGAACGCTGCTGCCGAACTATTTGCTGGAACGGCTTAAAATCGAATTACCCAGCTGGCACCAAGAGGTTGTTCGGCTAGCTAGTTTCGAGGTTCAGACGGTGTATTTTTGAGAATTGTTTTGGTTTTCCCACGCTACTGGAGTACCTGAGGTCCCTTTTTCCTCCGCAACCGTTAACAACAGTGGGGCTCATGACAGAGTTCCTTAATGAACTGGCTACTATGTCGACATTTGTGACTTGAATTCAGTGCAGGGTGGTGCTGAACTCAGTGACATTACACCATAGAATTGGTGTCGTGATCATAGCTGGGGTTATGAGGTTTGCGATTATGATTGTCATAATGAGCATGATTTTACGAAGTCTAACGGGCGAGTAAAACTGCAACGCAAGCTTTCTTCGTCATCAGTGTAACTTGTTGGTCGGTACGTCATAATTGGGCGGCCACTTTGTCGAATAAATCCAAGCCAACGAGTAGTCCGTCCTTTTTAGTTTGCGCTAAGCACCTGAATGTCATTTTACAATGAGATCTGTTATACCATTTTGGTTGTTATGGAGTGATAGGTATTCTTATCATCTAAATTCAGATAGCGCCTAATGAGTCCTGGCTTAAGACTGAAATCATTCACTGACTCGGAACACAAGTTCCACTTATGTATCTTATAAATAGTATGCGCTAAACTGGTGCGTCCATCCAGCCCACTTTCCAGCCTCTTGTTATCCATTCTTTGCGTTGGGCGAGTAAGAGGATTAACATTACTGCATTTGTTAACTTTGGCTTCTGTTCACACGTTCCTCGAAATACGCACATGTAGTCTAGTGATTGGCGGTGTAAGTTGCAATCCCGCTGGCTGGCCAGCTAGTTGGATGATAAAAGCCGGTGTTCATAAGGACAAGACAATGTTGTACACATCATTAGCTATAGGGTAGAAATTGGTTAGTCGGTGTGATCGGCGTGTTAGAGTTATGGTCAGGGGATGGACGCGGACGCGGTCAGTTGTTGCAAAATGGATTGAATCTACCTCACAGAATGTCAACTAGTGATGTTAAAGATTTTATTAGGGTGGCATAAATGTGTTTGTTCGAAGAATTCCAAGTTTTGTATGTGTACCAGGAAACAAGGGTGGTTGTGGATGAGACATGCAGCCAAAATTCGGCCAAAGCTAGTAAGATGAATAAGGTAATGGAGCGAGGAACTTACGCATGTGCTTGACTATCTACCTGGTAGATTTTTTAAATCCAAGTAGAATGAGTGCAAATTGGTTGCTTTGCACTATAATGACGGTGAGAAAATCCACTAGTGGCTGGAGTTCCAAAACTGCACCACCTTATGAACGGACAGATCTACCTGAACAGATGGGTGGCTCTATGTAGGTGCACGAGATTTCTGTAGACTTATTACTTGCAATATATTGAGCAGGTTGTGGTGATACTTGAGCCTTATCCACGTTCTGTTATTTTACGTTTTCGTGAGCATTATGCGCTCAACTATTGAAGACGTTACAAAATTAGGCCTGCTTTTCATTTATCTAGATTAGCTTTACAACCTTGTCATCGTCCGTTTTGAAGGGTGGTATCGCGCAGTATGCTTTGGATATTTTTTGGAGTTGCGCACCTAGTAAGGCCAAATGGGCCAACCACAACGTGACCAAAGCCTGGCCTACGCAATAAGTCTGTTTACATGTCATGGCTTTATCCAGCTAAAACCCAGATAGCCATATGCGTTCTTTGCATTTAGCATTTGTGCGTCACAGGATTGGCAAACACCAATAATGAGTAAGGCTATCAGTAAAAATTTCAATATCTTTAGAGTAAACGTAGACCAGTCGGTGTTTATTCCGCTCAAAACTGGCCGATAAAGTAACTATTTTTATCTATTCGCAATTCTTTTGTATCAGACTTCGGAAATTAATATCAAATCTGCGGAAAAAGTTGAGGAGGACACTTCCGCAAATCTGCTTGGCGAAAGTGAGCAGAGCCCAGACGCGGTGGAAAACCTCAAGATTACACCCAATCCAGATGCCTGGCGCAGTAAAGTTACTGGATTGATCTATCGCCAATTAGCCTGCATGTTCGATAATATGACAGCCTGCTTCACTGGAGCAGAGATGTTAGAAACAATGGGATAAAAACGGAAGTATATCCTGCACCATAATAAAGCTGTATCTTTCCTAAGCAACCAATGGCGGGTTTATTTTGCAAGATTTTAAGCGGCTTCTATTACGGAGCTAATATAATTTCTGTAATCTGCATTTCAGTTGGGGTACCATTAAAATACTGCGTAAATCTATGAAGTTAAACCCCTAGTATTTGCCACTGGGCTGGTGTAGGGTGGCAAATCAGCAAAGGTATCAGCTTGCTCCGGTTCTAGACCCTGATCACGAAATTAATCGTGCGGTGCGACGTTGCTTGTGGAAACACTTACGATTTTTTCACTTTTTCTACTGTCTCGAACGACAGCACTGCAAAGATTCGCTTCGGTGTTAATCGTTGATTACAGTGAGATTGTGTATGGCAATCGATTGACACAAAAAGGCTTCAGCGGGAGCCAAAAACAAAACAATAATTTTATTCACAAAAAGATGATTCGCTCTATTCCGCTCCATAAATGTTACCCGACTACATCACTATATCATGGAAGCACTAATGTGACTTGTTCTGTTATTGAGCAGCTCTGAAGGTGTTTAGTCATCTTGTTAGAAGTGAGTATTGCACGTCTTGTAGAGCGTGCAAAACGACACCAAAAACAAATTTGGAGCCGTCATTTATCCTGAAGACTAATGCACAATCTATTAACGAATATACACCATATCTATCGAACGGAATATCTTGCGCTTACCCAACGTCAATTCACCACGGAAATCATGCTTACTCTTACCATTTCGCAGCGTCAATATATACGGTTGCTTCACAATGGGTTACGGAGAAATTTAGCCCATATGCATTTGCCATAAGTTTACCTGCTCATCACAAACAGATAAGCTGCTTTACTCCTCCGCTTATTCGGTGCACTTGTTCGGTGAACATTTTCCATTGCATCTCTCACATACTACAATGTTATCTTTCGGCTAGTGGACTCAGGCTTGAATTAACTGTTCTCTTGTCAGACCGCAAGCCACAAAGGAATGGAAGATGTTGTTTTAGGTTTGCAGATGAGTGCAGCCAATGCAATGAGAAGAATAAAACTACATAAATGCATTTCAATAACCCGCCTTGGTAACATGCAATTAGGGCGATAAATGCAAATCTGACAGCAATTAACATACATTACTGATGTTTGAACTATTTTCCCTGTATTACATTCGAGAAAGGAGTCACTTTGTTCACAATATGCCCTCAATTCTTTGTCCTAAATAATGGATGAATTTATTAATCTGCCTCCTTCGTGCAACTTAAATCTACCAGTAGACCGCGGCTTCCGGTAAAAGCAAACAAATTCGACAAAAACTGCAACACTTTTGTGTGTACAGTATAGTCCTGCATAAGATCTTGACTGCAGCGTTGGGAGCATTTTTAATCGGAGCATTTTTACAATCGGTATCAAATGCTTTATAAGCAGAATAAACAACTATGCGAGCGCAGATGGCAGTCTGACGGATAAAAGAAGAAAGCAGACCAAAGGTAGCTTCAGTTGTTGAGGAAGTCGGTCGCATCAAATGTGCAGTGAACGACTCTCAAAAGGACACCAGGAGTTATTACCTACCAGGCGCACATTCTTTGGGTTTAATTGTTCTGTTGTTAATGAATCCGTGGACCCACTGATAGAATCACGAAACGGTCACATGAATGACACTCAACGTCATGACGCATATTCGGAAACATTGTGTCATAGGACGCCCATGCACCCGATTTTGAGCAGTGGAGTCGGTTGCCAAATGCTTGAACGAAATTAGGTATAATAAGTATGGATCGTAGAAGCACCACAATTTCTTCAAAGTTGGGCAAATATGTTATATCGACAAAGTGACTTAGTGTTTACATACAAATGTACAATTCCGTCACGCGTCTTTATCAACGCGAATGATCCCTTTCTTCCTGGCTTCAAAGAACGGCCAAAGGACAAAGGCTAGTGTTCTAAACGTTGCCTGAGGAGGTGCTTGTTACCTACCACCAATGATATCTCGTCCACTGAACTGTATAAACGCCAACTTTACCTATTGCTTCAGAGCTTGATAAGTGTTTTCTGTCCCTTATGTGATAGCTGCAAAATCGGAACAGCAGTACTTAATATTAGTACAACTAAACAACCTGGCATTTGGATGTAAACAAAAGAAACTAGAATTCCCTACAGGATCATACCAAGAAGAAGCAATGGTTGACAACCCCAGTTAAGCGTTTCCATAACGGTAGTGTCGAGCTTTAGCGCCACCCAATGGATAAATAAGGCTATCAATCATCATCAACTAGGAATCGATCGGGACCTTGAGATACTTATAGCAGAATCCTAGGTTCAACACTGACCAGTCATCCGTATGGAAAAAGAACGCAAAAACTATGTTTGTTGCCAGTGATACACTCCTTCAGCTGCATCGTTTTTCGGGGTCCGACTGATGAACCCGGAAGCCAAATCTAAGTCGATGGCTTTCAGACAAAATGTTATTACCAGTTCCACTTTTTTGTCGATTACAACCATCTTATAAGCATCCGTTAACGACACAGACGCTCACACAATATCGAATGGTGCCACCAGCTGGATCCAGGTCCTGATTTCAGACTGGCGAGATTGCTACAGTCGCCTGAGAACTAGAATCGAAAGAAGATTAGTGGTCTGTTTGTATACTGCTTTGCTTACGATCATATCTCACTACTTCAGCTCATTGGAACGCTTGATTCCAAGGCTTCTCATCCGTCACCTGAACCCACATTTCGGGCTTCAATTATAACGAGAGTAACTGATACGTCAGCTATGACAACTAGCAAATCAGACGAAATGTGCTTTGATTGGGACTACCACTTGGGAGCGATTAAGAAAGGAGTCCGAGGCGCTTCTCAACCTAGCGTTCGGTGGATTACTTATTTATTGAATATACGTAACTGGGAGGTCAGTTTATTGTGTTTCTATATAATTCTTGAGTTAAAATTTGATTGTCGTATGGGGAAGAGCGTAAGCTTGAAGGAGGCACCGGTGCGATTGATAACAACTGTGTGACGTTGCAACTCATTTGTAACACCAATCCCAGAAGGCACACATCCATATAGAAAATAGGGGAGAAAGATCGACAGTTGTTCAATACTCAGACACATCAACCAGACCGTTGATAGTGTACGTTGAAATGTGTTTCTGCAGGGTCATCATAAAAACTACATATTGCTGAATCGCCCAAATTGACGTGAGACGTTGAGGTCTTCGCTTACGACTTCAATATCCCTAAGAATACATGGAGTTCTCTTCCTGCGCTCGATGGCCAAGGCGTCATTGGCGACACAACAGAACCATTGAAGCATTTTATCGCTACTGAAAAAAGTTTTTGAATCCTGACCGCTTGTTTAGTAACCGATGGATTCAACACTATTTGCGATATTAAAACAGAAATTTCAGACTAGCGGTTATAACCAGTCATCCCCGTGTTCGAAGGGCTAAACGCACCTGAAATGGAGGCTATGTAATTAAGGATCCTACCAGCTTTTGGCTTCAATTCTATCACGGGTATTATGCTACAGCGACTCGCTGATTCTCTTGCTAGCTGAAGCAAGGAAACTCAGACAGTCTCCAGCGTTTCTCCAGGAGGAATTGAGCACGTGACTACACATCGTTCACGGTTGGAAACGTGGTACCTTTGCGATTGACCCATCGAAGTGATTTTACATGGAGGCCATGTGTCTTACATGTGGAAAACGAGTTCGATTGGTGTCCAGTAAGAGAACTAGCATGCTTGCCGCCATAAGTCTCCATGCTGGCTCAGAACACCAGCTTCCTTAATAGGTAAGCTCCTACTGGTCACGGAACACCATTTAGAGCTTGGAGTAGTGTTCACAGTTGCACTGCATGACCGTAGCCCCCGCTTCCTCCGTTTCACCGAGACTGTCGCAACAAGACGGAGGAAGCCGGCTCTGTGTGTGTGTAAAACAACTATTTGTCAACTTAATGCCATCAGGTACGTAGGGGTGGAACTTCCGTCATTCACTTTGTACTTCACTCTGATTTGGCCCCACCCATAGTTAAGTACATGGGCGCAAACCGGTTCTTAATAATGGTACTGGGGGACAATGTGAAAGGATGCACTCACTAGCTTTCGTTTTATTAAAGCACTTGTAAACTGTTAACTTGAACTAACTGCTTTAAAATTGTCGTATCGACTCGGTGCACTCCTTCCACACAGTCCGGTATTTAGAGCGACAGAGATAAGCATATCGAATGTTTACACCAGCTAAAATGTTAAAGTCCAGACAGTTGCAGCAGACGCAATGTGAGACATAATATCTTTGTCAGGGAACAGGCGTGATCTGTCTTCATAAAGGATTCAAGTTCGACAAACAGAATGATAATAACCGTTTCTCCCTCATTTTCACGGGTCATCTGAGAAGTCATGATCAAGGAATTGTGCGCACTCGCAAACGGGCCGGTCACAAGTTGACAAAATTAATGGCGAACAAGAAAGTTGACAGAAAGATTTCGGCCGAAAATGTTCCACTCCGACCAGCGCTGCACAAATGCAGTTCAGAACGCCATTAGTGTTTTAACTTATCCTACGTTCATGCCGTGCGGTAGCACTTTAACTCGGCTAGCTTTGCCCTCTGTGGCCACTCTAATTCTCCCCACATAATATTGTGTGTTCGCTCGTTCGAACCAGTTCGACGAGCTCTACTCACTGCATCCCAACTCTTAGATCTTACCTGTGTAGATTATACTCTTGCTCCAGTTCCCAGTTCGGCAAATTCTTTACCGAATTACACGTGGGTAACTACATCAAACCGGTTTTTCGGAAACGATTTTGGTCTTATTCGGAATAAGAAGCTGAGGGCTCCCAAACTACGCGACAAACATCCCTGCACGTTGCAGCATAACCAAGTTACAGCCTTTTTGCTCCGCTCATCAACTAAACAGCTCTAGAGGCGCTTAGCAGCGCTCCACCTGCATTATCGCTTAAGGCAGGCCGATCAACACACGCTGCCGCTTTGTGTGGGTGTGTGTATTCAACTGCGAGTCGATTGAGCGTTGAACCCGACAGTCTGCGCGTTAAGACCTCCATCTGCATCTACCGCCTAGCCTTGGTGCGGTTGAACAACTCTCAATTCTTGTGCGTGTTCTGACGTGTTTGGGCATCACGCCTGGCGCAGAGAAC